TCGGATTCAAAGGGGACATTAGATCTTGGCGGTGATGCTGGGGACGATATGTGTCTCGTATTTCGTCCCAAATGCTAATGGTGTGTTGGCTGTACAGGGACCAGCGCCTGACGCCCCCAGCATCGCGTAGCATCACCCACGAAGTGCATTGATGCGAAGATGAAGATGAAGATGATGATGAAGATGATGATGAAGGCGCTGAGGGCGCTGAGGGCGAAGAAGAAGAAGAAGAAGAAGAAGAAGAAGAAGAAGAAGAAGAAGAAGAATATAATGATGATGATGATGATGATGATGATGATGATGATGATGATGATGATGATGATGATGATGATGATGATGATGATGATGATGATGATGATGATGATGCTGATGCTGATGATGATGATGATGATGATCATCGATGAAGATGATCATCGATGATAGCGGATGATGGCGAATCATGACTACTCCTCGGCATAGCCCGCGAAAATCGCATCGTCCGTGCCGACAACTCTTCTCAACAACACCTCCGCAAAGCTCTCGGATGAGATGCACAACAAAGCGACTCTAAACCAACCCTCATGCAAAACGCCGAACCAAGCAGTCACCCACCTAACCCCATAGGCCGATCCTCAAGTCACGCCCGTCAGGGACCCCTCCGCAACCAAGCAAACTTAAACCCTGCCTTGCACCGACCAATCGATGAACCGACCCCTTGACCCAAACTGTTCTCCAATGATATCCCCGAAACCATCTCACAAACCGCAAAGCACCTTAATCAGCCCCCGAAACCACACCGTAGTGAACCACCTCTACCGAGCCGAGGGTCCCCTTCCAGTGCCGCGGCCGCGAGTATGAACAAACATGCTGAAAGATGGACATCAACTCCGCAAAAACTCGCAAAGCAAACAAGGCAGTCAAATAAATTGGGACCACTTTCACGACAAAAAGGTCCGACGCGTCTTCAAGCAGTCCCACATAGTCCCACAAATATTGAGCTTCAACATGCTTCAACAAGCCCTTGTCAACTGAGATGAAGCAGGATTGAACTTCCCGTGTTTCAACAGTTCCCTTTACACTAGCCCGAACTCCTCTGAGTACTCGGGATATGACACCAAACAATATTCACCTCGGCTCTCGCCAGTCCTGAGAGGGATCAGACATGGCATTCTCCGTGGGGACGACCCCGCGCTGCTTCTCATCAAAGACATCTACTTCGATTGGCCTGACGGGACAGAACCCATGCCAGGCAAGCCCCAGGCTGTAAGATGCTGTAAGCCCCGTCTTCGGTGGCGCGTTTGCTTGTCCGACAGAGTGGTTTTTAATTACTCCGGAACATGCTTGATGGTTGCAGGCAAGCAATCATGCTGGATATGGCTCCCAATGGGATGCAAACGTTTGAGCATACCTGGAGTTAGTTCTCTTTGTCTCACGTGATATTCCACACGCTTGTTTTGTGAGCAACCCCAAACCGAACCACGTAAAAGAAGTCATTGATCAAAGGTATCGGAACACGAAACAACACCGGCATGTCAGTTCCCGCTGGTTGTCACCGGTGTACGGGTCAACCGAGCGCCTGAAGGCCGCGTGCTTCCATTCAAGCTGCCTCATTCTGGGCTCCAATACATCTTAGCAATCTGCCCGCAACTTTCAAAAGTGACCCAACTGCTTCGGCAAATCAAATCAAAGCTGCTGCTCACCGGAAGCACATGGCACCCACAAAATGGCTGAAGTTTCCTGGCTTCAATCGGGGCGCAAACCTTTTAGGTTGAGATTGTCAGTCGCCCTCTCGCCTATTGTCCTCTGCCCAGCAGCAATGGCACCACCTTGGTTCTGGCTTTGGAACCCAGGAGTTTGGAGCGGGAAGTATGAGGGAGTGACCTTAATTCTTCTGAACTCACTCCGTTGCGTGTCATTGAACATGGCTGCAAGCTAATAGAGTGGCCATAGCAGTTGCTGCTTCAGCATGACATGCTGCAACGCAATTGCACGGCTTTCTGTGCAATTCCCAATGTCGATATTTTTGGGCTGCAATCGTGCTGCATGGTTTCAAAATGGCTCCTTCACATCTGACACGCAAATTCTGGGCTTGGCACAACATGGCGCCCGCCACGGCCCGCCCAATCTCAAGCCAAAATGTGGCAAGTAGTGGATACAACCGCCAATGGACAGGGCTCGTTGCGCCGAATCCGGTTGAACTCTTTCTGTTCTGCAAGAGACGGTGAGTGGTCTTCCAGGGCTGACCGTTTCCATGTTGCTGAATTTCCAAAGAAACTCCATGCGCTCGCCACTTTTCCGCGGCGAACAGCGGATCATCGCCCGGCGGCTGATCTTCGAACGGCACGTGCTGCACTGCTCGGCTCCTGGCACACGGCAACTAGGGAGCGAAAGCTCAGGAACGTGGTATTTTAACCTCAAGCCGGTATGGTTCAAAATTAAACCACCAGGGGACCGCAGGCTTTTTGTCCTTGTCTCCACTTACCAGGGTTGTATTTTGGGGTTCCCCAATTTCTGACCGCCCAAATGGGTGAACACATTTCATCCCGGACCACTCGGCTCGTGACCAATTCCCACGCCTCCGGCTCGGTGAG